TTTGTTTTAGTTGTTTTGCTCATTTATTTTTTTCAGTGTTTAAATAATAAAAAGAACAAAATTGAAAAAAAACCCTATATTTAGTTTGTAAATAGCTTTGCAGTGCATTTTAAATAGGTCCAATGATATAAAATGTATACTTTTTATCTACAAGTAAACAATTTTTTTCAACTAACATTGATCAAAGTGTTTTATTGTTTGTTTTGTTAAATTTTTTTTTCATCTATGAATGCATAAAAAGTAAAATTAGGTTTTGCAAGTTAATATCACCAAAGCATTGTTTCACCTAAAACAAAAAATATATGTATTACTTTTTTATCTCTAGGAATGAAAAATCATTACCAAATCAATATGCTCACAGCAGTAAATGTAAAAATTGCTCTGGTCTATAGGCAGTGTACAGGGCTGAGAACTAAAGTAGTTAAAAATACTTACATGTAACTGTGCTTATCCTATGTTTTTTTTTCTCACAAAACAGATTGTGAGAGATGCATGCAAGGCATGGCCTTGCCATAAGATGTGATATGTTGCTAGGTCACCTTACCTATTGTTGGTACCTATTATTATGTTAGTGTTATGATCCGCCAGGTGGTGCCTCTGGCAGCCCACTGGACAGACCTACCCAAAGCGTGGAATCTAAGTCCCGGTCTGTGCTTTCACCAGGGCTCCTGATGGTGGGGATGGATTTGTAACAGACCAGGGCCAGGTCACGACCTCTGAGCAGGCCTACCAGTGGCAGAGGCAACCTCCGGGGATGTATAGGTACTGGGATAGCCAGATGTGAGGAGGACGGCGGGACCTAGCAGGATGGGTCACGAGCAGCGGTCCCGTGGGGTAAACGAGGTACAGAATCAGGAGGCAAAGAGTAGTCAGGTCACACGCAGGGTCAGCAGGATAAGTCAGTCCGCAGATAGGTCAAACAAGCCGAGGATCAGGAGGGGAGAAGGCAGAGTAGTCAGGGCAATCCGAGTCAAATACAGGAGAAGGCAGTGTAGTCAGGACAATCCGGGTCAAAGCACAGGAGAAGGCAGCGTAGTCCGGGTCAATCAGGGTCAAAATGCAGGTACAGGAACTCAGGATCACAGATAGACCTTGCGGCGATTAGTGACAGTGCAGGGCATCTTTAAATATTGCGCCCTGCACTGTCATTGGCCGTCCAGGACGCGCCCCCGGGCTGTCATTGGCCGCCCGAGGCTCCTACTGCGCGTTCTGTCAGCTGCGGCCCGCCGGGACCTGGTGCTTGTGTCCCAGCGTGAGCCGTCGCCAGTGCGCGTGCGCCGGAAGAGGAGCCGCCGCGATCCCTGACAGTTAGCTGCCAGGCTGCCATGATGTTCAGTTCACTACAATACTTTCCACAACAATGACCCAGATCAAGTATGAAAAATAGGAGTTCTGTCATAAAGCTTTCTACCCCTTTTGTAGCTGGTTCCAGGTAAGGGAAAGTATTGAAGCCAGAGGATCAGCATTACCACCAGGAAACTACAATGCTCAATGTGAGGTTAATAGCAGTCTAAATATTGATCATATGACAAGTTTCTTTTAATTACTTTGGCTGTTTAGGTAAGCTGTGGGACATTGGATGTGCCCTTTCTTTATTTTTGATACATTTTGCATGTTTGATGCAGTTTGATAACTGCTTGATGACCATTGATTGTTATGGTTGTAAATAATACATCTATGCTAAGTGATTTTAATTCTTTGGTTTGCTGCTGAAATATGGATGGATGGTTGATTTGCAAGACCTCATGTACACTCCATTTCTTCCCTTTGCAAAAGCAAAGTTTAAAATAAAATCTACCTGTAATGTATGTTGAGTGAAATGGAGAGCATATACCAGTTTGGATAGTTCTCCAAACCTGGAGTCTCCAAACGTTCGAAACAAAGGGCCAGTTTACTGACCTTCAAACTTTAGGGGAGCTGGACTGCGGCCAGTTGGAGTAAAAAAAAATGCCCAGGAGTCGGTGGAAGTAAATAATGTCATAGGCTTGGTGGTCAGTGGAAGGATTAGAGCTCCATCATTGGTGTCAGTGGCAGAATTAGTTCTCCATCTGTGGTATCCATGGGAGGAATAGTTCCCCACTGTTGGTGTCAGTTAAAGGAATAGTGCTCCATCTTTATGACAATAATGGTGTGAACCTCCTGCGCTCATTAGTGTTCAACTCTATATATAAAGAAGAGAAGCTGCTAACATTAAATCATATACCAATGATTACCATAGACATATAAATAACAAATTATAATGTAGCGCTACTCACATAATAAACAAGTGCATATAAATATATGTACCAAGTGTATCAATTAGTGAAAAATGCCAAATCAACTATTGACCAAGTGATTTCATGCAAAAATCCAAACAATTATATGTGAACACAAAATGTGATGGTGATAATTGAAAACAATTGATGCTGATCAAATACAATCTTCAAAAATAATTATAATGACCTAAATCATATGGAAAACATATATATCTCTTTATACAAATCCATTCAGTGTAAATAATATATAAAATCACGCGTGCATATAGTGAACATACTATAGTGAAACCACAATACAAAAACAACTAAATCAGTGCTCTTAAAGTCCAATATATGCCGATGGTAACACACTCGTGCTGATATTTGTGTGCAAGTGGATATGACAATCCGACCACCGTCTGGATAAGCCTCTCACCTTATAGCTTCGACCCTTGCGGGTCAAGGCGCTTTACTGGATCCTTCTCACGGATCCTGCAAGCCTGCTATCCCTCCAAATGGTCGCTCCTTGTCGCACCCAAATCCCTCAAGGGGTCAGCACTCCACTAATGGCTCCTCTCCAGGTAAGATCAAGTGTAGCACCAATCTCTCATATGAGACATAAAATAGATCCTCCCATAGTGTAGTAAGTTTATTTGTAAAGTAGGGACAATAACAAAAATAATAAACTCACATAGCAGCAGTATCCAGTTCAAACAGTTCAAACCTCATGCTTTCGGATAAGGAAACGAATGTATGGGTGTACAACGGGTGTACAGGTGTACCAAGATGGCCGCTACGTCGGAAGTGCGTCACTACGTCAGGCCGACGCGTTGCGTCACAATACCATGTGACTTCCTCAGGGCTCTATATGCACGCATGATTTTATATATTATTTAAACTGAATGGATTTGTATAAAGAAATATATATGTTTTCCATATGATTTAGGTCATTATAATTATTTTTGAAGATTGTATTTGATCAGCATCAATTGTTTTCAATTATCACCATCACATTTTGTGTTCACATATAATTGTTTGGATTTTTGCAAATCACTTGGTCAATAGTTGATTTGGCATTTTTCACTAATTGATACACTTGGTACATATATTTATATGCACTTGTTTATTATGTGAGTAGCGCTACATTATAATTTGTTATTTATAGTGCTCCATCTTTGGTGTCAGTGGAAGGAATAATGCACCAAGGGCCAGATAAAGGCAAGCAAAGGGCCACATTTTGGAGACCCGTGGTCTAGAGTAATTTGTGTTAAAAAGAGAGCAATGTATCAGTTTGAAACCTTTGGGTTACAACCTCTGAAGAAATACACCAGGCACAGGTAAGGTGGCTGCCCATTTTAGCATATTGCCTGTCTTCAGTACGAACAAGCAACGCAGCTTGTTTGTTGTCTGTCTTTTGAGCCATAGGTAAATGGTCTCAGTAAAACACCATTGTCAGTAAAAGTAAGAGCCTGGCTAGCTCTCCATTTACTTATAGTGGTGCCAAGGCTGGTGTGAATTAGTTGCTGACCTCAAATTCCATTTTCTTTTGAACCCTGCCAGATGGTTATAACAAGAACTCTAAGTCTTATACTTAAAAAAAAAAAAAGTGTTAAAAAAAAGCTTGTCAATGCCTGTATAGCCTTAACATATTTTTAAAGTTGCAGGCAGAGCAAAGCCTGAGCTGACCAAAGCAAAGGGTAGGGTATAAGATGCAGAAAGTGTGGAAATTTTACTGAGCATTTGTTCAGCATTCTCACTGATTTGCATTATCAGCACCGAATAAACCAAGAAAAATATGTAATGCAGACATTTTTGAATGCTGCAAATTAGAAATAATGACAAAAGTAGTTTTAGAGTGATTTCCAAAGCTCAAAAAATGCTGTCTATGTGCATGTGATGTCTGAATGTATGAACCCTTACTCTGTAATCCTATAAGCAGAGATGGCCATAACCTGGCCATATGCCAACAGACCTGGCAACTGGAAGCAAAAATACTATAGCCAGATATTTTCTTTTTCAATACATTTTTATTGAAGATTTACAGAGTTAGAGCAGTATTGATTCATGCAAATGTGGGAATGTATAAAACCATTTTATCACCAGCAAATCAAGATATACAGGCATGACTTTCTGTGTGGGTTTTACAATTTAGGTGTGCTAACAATGTAAAGATATGAGGGTATAAGTGAACTTGGTTAATGTTAAATCTGAAGTGCTAGCCCCCATTGATATTTGTAATCTGCACAAGTGATGAATCGGTTCTTTGATGGAAGTAAGGCTGTATATGGCTCATCCTGCATCGTCGGCAGTGAATTGATGGTAATACACCCTTGAAGTAAAGATTGAGGAGAAGAACGTCCATGTTCACTTCTGATATAATAGAACTCTATCCAAAAAGGAAGAAGAAAAGCGGTTCTGGAATGGGATGCAGTTTTTAGCCTTTATTCATTGGTCAGTTTATTTTACCTCATGCATGGATTAAATACTGAATATACTTTAAGCAGCCTAGAAAATGGTTCCTCTGTGAGCATTGTGCACGTTTTAGTATGAAGCAATGTTTCTTGTATAAAATAATCTTTTATTTCCACATGTGGTTTGCATTCCTTGACAACTTTAAAATTAGTCATATGACATAATTATCCTCACTAATCACAGTAGTGATACTGTCTCTCAAAAATACTAGGAAATGTGTTTTTACAGTTGTTTTAAGTCATTTTTATATTATATGCATTTTATGTAGCAAATATAGTAATACATCTTTTTATTTTTTTAAGCTGGTTGAATTCTTTATTTCTTATTGGTCACAAACGGAAGCTCGAAGAAGATGACCTGTATAAAGTGCTACCAGAAGACAGTTCAGAGAGACTTGGAGAAGAGCTCCAGTGGTAAGAGGCTTCTTGTCTTCTGGTGAAGTATAGGGATAGATTTACTAAAACTGGGGCACTCAGAATCTGGTTCAGCTGTGCATGGCAGCCAATCAGCTTCTAACTTCAGCTTGTTCAATTAAACTTTGGCAATAAAACCTGGAAACTGATTGGTTTCGTTGCAGAGCTGCACCAGATTTTGCATTCTCCAATTTTAGTAAATAACCCCCTATGCATTCTTTCTGTTCTATCACAACGAGCACAAGCAGACATTACATTTCCCCAGCAAGAACTATAATAAGAATAATAATAAACTTTATTTTATTAGTGCTTTTAAAGGTAGCTTCCTAAAGCACTTTACAAAGAAAACGCAAGAAATACACAGGATAAAACAAAGGATAAAGGGCAATTACATAAAAGCTTGTCTAAAGAAAAAAGTTTTTAGATTTGATTTGAATGAGTTTAGAGAAGATGACTCTATGATGTTCTTTGGAAACGAATTCCAGAGTTTTGGGGCATAGCAGAAAGCTCTGTCTCCCATTGAGTGTAGGTGAGTAGAGGACACACACAGTAGACCAGAATTTGAAGAGTGGAGGTTATGGGGGAGGGGGGAGTAGGTTGATAAAAGTTCAGACAGATAATGGGCTGTCAAGCCATGAAGGGCATTATAGGTGAGTAAGAGAACTATAAATGGGTTATCATTAACTACTTGCCAACCGCAGATAGCTGAATCACGGCTACACTGCGGCTGGCCAGTTCTGGGAGGGCGTCATATGACGTCCTCCCAGAACGCTCTCTCCTGCGCGCCCCCGGGGGCACGCACCCGGCGATCTCCAAGTTAGCTGTGTCCTACGGACACAGCTGATCACGTGATGTGGTAAAAGGCCAATCACAGCGGCCTTTTACCACGTGATGAGCCGTGTCCAATGACACGCTGATCACCGGGAAATGCAATTGCCGGTTCTCGGCTGACAACGTGAGGAAAGTACTGCTGAGAACCGGCAGTTGGCAGAGCAGGGATGGGCACCGATCATCAGGGCACTGATGATCAGTGCCCTGATGATCGGTGCCCAGGAGTGCCACCCACCAGTTCCGCCCACCTCTGCCCAGCAGTGCGCCCACTTGTGCCCAGCAGTGCACCCTCCTGTGTAGAGAAGTGCCACCCACCTGTGCCCGGAAGTGCCACCCACCTGTGCCCATCAGTGCAGCCCAGCATTGCTGCCAGTCAGTGCCACAAGTCAGTACCCAGCGGTTGTGCCAGTCAGTGCCCAGCAGTTGCGCCAGGCAATTCCTAGCAGTGCCACCAGTCAGTGCCCAGCATTGCTGCCAGTCAGTGCCACAAGTCAGTACCCAGCGGTTGTGCCAGTCAGTGCCCAGCAGTTGCGCCAGGCAATTCCTAGCAGTGCCGCCAGTCAGTGCCCAGCAGTGATGCCAGTCAGTGCCACCTATCAGTGCTGTCTATCAGTGCCACCTATCCGTGACACCTATCAGTGCGCCTCATTAGTGCTGCCTATTAGTGCCTATCTGTGCCCATCAGTGCTGCCTCATCAACACACATCAGTGAAGGAGAAAAATTACCTGGTTGAAAAATTATATAATAGAAACAAAGAAACTTTTTTTTTTTTTTCAAATTTTTTGCAATTTTTTTGTCTATAGCGCAAAAAGTAAAGTGCCTCAGCGGCGATTAAATACCATCAAAAGAAAGCTCTATTTGTGAGAAAAAAATGATAAAAATTTCATATGGGTACAATCTTGCATGACCCGCGCAATTGTCAATCAGAATGCGACAGCGCTGAAAGCTGAAAATCGGCCTGGTAAAGAAGGGGGTTAAGTGCCCGGTAGGCAAGTGGTTAATGTTCTCAACACGTAAATAGTAAAAACATTTTGAAATGTTCTGTATAACAGAGCCTATGATTTTTTGGATGAGGTAGGTTATCTTAACTAGGTAATGAATAGCTGTTTTTAAATAAAGTGGGGACAATTCACTAAAGGTTATCATATGCGTTACGTTGGTCATGTGAGCACCAAAAATGTCAATTTACTATTGCTGGTATGCGGTATTTACTGCAAAGAGCAAAATCACTTGATAAATACCGCTTAAAAAGACCTTATAGTCAATTCACAAAAGAAAAGAAATAATTAAATGCATGTGGTAATTAAGTAGTGGTTTGGGTACCCTCTTGTTAAAGGGGGCTTACAGATTCCAATAAGTCACCCGCCTGCAGACCTCCACAACAACCGGCCATGTGCTTGATCACCATTTTTTTTTTTTTTTTTCATTTTGGTGTGGGGGTTCCCCTCACAATCCATACAAGACCCGAGGGGTTAGTATGGATTGGGGGAGACCCCACACAGTTTTTTTTTCTTACCTCTTAATTGCTGGCAATTCTTTTTTTTTTTTTTTCTTTTTTACATTCAACTGTCAGCGGGAAACCCACTGACACCCAATGTTAGAGGGGATTTATTCTTCGAAAGCCAATACACCTTTGCATACTGGTACTGACTAGTATTCCATTGTTTCTCTTCTTCCTCACTGAGCTAATGTGACCCCAGTGAGGACAGAGAGGGGCAGTGGACAGAACTGGTGGGAAATTTGAAAATGACAAAAAGTGACATTCACTAAAATCACATAATAAAACATTACTGTATCAAAGCATTTCACATACATTTTGTCCCTAGTGCTTTGTCCTGTGCCCTGCCTTCATTTTTACTGTTCTTTCTGCCTGGAAACTGAGACATGTCCATGGCGTCCAAAAAGTGTCCCTTTAGGTCAAAAGCGGTTTTAGACCAGCTAGAGAACAGCGATAGTAAATCAGAACCTTGCAGAATTGAGTGATAATGATTTGTGGGGAAATTTGTCATCAGACACTGAAAACGATTTTGCGACTTTGCTCAGTGATGTGCAAACTTGGCACTAGATTTCAAATTTCAGTGTTTTTGGTTTGATTATATTAAGAGATAAGAGGGGGGCACTGGAAGAAGGGGAAGATCAGAGAAGACAGGATCAAACAGCATTTTTACTCAGTGCAGAGGATTAACCCCTTAGGTTCCACAGTGTTTTTATAAAGTAATGCACCCCATTATCTGTCTGAACTTTTATCAACTTACTCCCCCACTCATAACTTCTGCTCCTCAAACACTGGTCTCCTGTGTGTCCTCTCTACTCACCTACACTTGATGGGAGACAAATCCATCTCCTGCTATGCTTTAAAAATCTGGAATTCACTTCCACAGAACATCAGAGAATCAATTCCTCTAAACTTGTTTAAATCAAATCTTAAAACTTTTTTCTTTGCACAAGTTTTCACGAAATTGTCCCTTTTTTTTCCTTTGTTTTACACTGTTTATTTCTTGTGTTTTCCTTGTAAAGCACTTTGAGATGCTACATTTAAAGGTGTTATATAAAATAAAGTTTATCATTATTGTTATTAATATTATTATTAGGATCAATGGGAGGAATAGTGCTTCATTATTGGTGTCAGTGGGAGAAATAGTGTCCCATTGTTGATGTTTATAGCAGGAATTTTTGCTCCATTTGATTTGTACTAGGATGAGGAAATTTGGGGCATACAATTTATTTTAGAACGCAAAATTTCGGTCGAGGGGGGGAGAGGATTTGTGCTGGGGTTGATCTGCTAGTAGGAATGATAAGGGGGGTGGTATTTGTGCTAGGAGGAAACCTTTTATTTTGAGGGGGGTGGATTTGTGCACGCAGGGGAGGATTTGGAAGAGCAGATAGGATTTATGTTTGGGGAAGAAGAGGATTTGAGCTGAGAGAGGGGATGGTGGGGGCAAAGTTTTGTGTTGGGATGGGGATTTCAGCGGGAGTGGATACATTTGTACTGGAAGAGGGTCAATTTTTGTTTGAGGGGAAATTTTGTCTTGCAAATGGAATTTATACTTTGGAGTAAGCGTGCAGATTAGTGCTCTAATTTTTTGGGAGAAAGGGAGTGTATTTTTTCCTCACAAATAATGCACATATATTTTGGGGAGGGGACTCTGTTTGGCATCTTTGCTCTGGGCTTGATGATATTGTCCCTGCACTGAGGTACAAACTTTAGAACTAGCACAACATCAAATATTACTGAACTCAGTAGGCCAGTGTACTAGCCAAAGAACTAACATCATCATCAAACATTATTGAACTCAGTAGGTCCAGGTACTAGGCAGACAACTAACATTATTGTCAAACATTTTTGAACTCCGTAGGCCAGGGTACTAGACAGAGATCTAACAACATCATCATCCTCAAACATTATTGGGACCTCAGTAGGTCAGTGTACTAGACAGAGAACTAGCATCAACATCAAACATTATTGAACTGAATAGGTCAGGGTACAAGCTATAGAGCTAGCCTCAACATCAAACATTATTGAACTGAATAGGTCAGTGTACTGGCCAGAGAACTAACATCATCATTATTATTATTATACAGTATTTATATAGCGCCAATGGTTTGCTCAGCACTGTACATTATAGTGAGAGACAGTACATGAGAAAGTACAGTAACAATACAATACAATACACGAGTGGTTCGAGGGCCCTGCTCCTTGGAGCTTACAATCTAGGAGCCACATGAAACATTATTGAACTCAGTAGGTCCTCCAGGTACTAGGCAGAGAACTAACATCATCATGAAACATTATTGAACCCAGTAGGTTCAGGTACTAGCCAGAGACCTAGCATCATTATCAAACATTTTTGAAAGCCGTAGGCCAGGCCAGGGTACCAGGCAGAGAATTGCCATCATCATCAAACATTATTGAGCTCAGTAGGTCAGTGTACTGGCCAGAGAACTAACATCATCATCAAACATTGTTGAACTCAGTAGCTCCAGGTACTAGGCAAAGAACTAATATTATTATGAAATATTATTGAACTCAGTAAGTCTGGGTGCTGGTCAGAGGATTAACATCATTGTCAAACGTTTTTAACTGTATAGGTCAGTGTACTAGCCAGAGAACTAGCATCAGCCTCAAACATTATTGAACTCCGTAGGTCTGGGTACAAGCCAGAGAACTAGCATCATCACCAAACATTATTGAACTCAGTAGGTCTGGGTACTAGCCAGAGAACTAGCATCATCCTCAAACATTATTGAACTCAGTAGGTCTGGGTACTAGCCAGAGACCTAGCATTATTGTCAAACGTGTTTGAACTCCACAGGCCAGGGGACTAGGCAGAGAACTAATGTCATCATCATCAAACGTTATTGAAATCAGTAGGTCTGGGTACTATCCAGAGAATTAGCATCATCAAACATTATTGAACCCGTCAGGTCTAGGTACTAAACAAAAAACTAGCATTAACTTCAAACATTATTTACCTGAATAGATCAGGGTACTCGCTAGAAAACTAACATTATTGAACTCAGTAGGTCCAGGTACTGGTTATAGAACCAACGTCGTCATCAAAATTTTTTTAACTCTGTAGGTCAGTATACTAGCCAGAAAACTAACATCAACATCAAATATTATTGAATTGAATAGGTCAGGATACTAGCCAGAGAACTAGCATCATCCTCAGACATTATTGAACTCAGTAGGTCTGCGTACCAGCCAGAAACCTAGCATCATTGTCAAACTTTATTAATCTCCATAGGTCAGGGTACTAGCCAGAGAATCAGCATCATCATCCAAACATTATTGAACTCAGTAGGCCAGGGTACTAGCCAGAGAGCTAACATCATCAGCCTGCTGTCTTTCAGGAAAGATTTGCTTTAACTGGTTGTCTTCCTCATTTTCCTAGATTTTTCCTCATACCACTCCATTGCTGTATAATATTAAATGTGCTTCATGGCAGCTGCATTAAAGCAAACTGCATCCCATTCATTAGCTAAAAACAATAATCACAAATTAAAAGCAGTGGCACATTTCATTTTCTCCCTGTCTTTATTGGCTGTACATACAAAGTTCACTGTGACATTTTATGAGCCAGCAACTACTGAGAAAGGCACAGTTCACACCTATGAACTGAAATAAACTTTCCTGTTTTACTGCTGGAACCCCATGTGCTCTTATTTTTTTGCACACTGTTTGTGAAGAATATTTTAAGGAACCCTGGTCATTTTATATCTGTTTAGATTAGATTATATAAACACAATTCGCATCCTGATTAATGCATTTTTGGGGTGATTTCCAACAAGCAAAGCGTTTGACATGCTGCGCTACAGACATACACTCGACTGCATGAAGACATCATTGTCATATTATCCTAATATTAAAACATGCTCCTATAGATAAAAATTATGTGTATACATCACTCAGAAAAAAACCCATATTGAACTAATTGGTATATAAAGTCCCGAAATATTGTGCACATTCCCAACATGTGAAAAACTTAATTTTTTTGCTGTTATCTGATGCTCCTAAAAAAGAAACCCCCACTGTCCCTCAAAGGGCAAACTCTCACCTCCACTGTTGACCCTCACTACAGAGGTCTAATTGGAATATATCAAGATCAAAAGAAGGAAATAATCATCTTCCATCAAGTCCTGCTTGCATGCGCAGCCCAAAGCCAGTTGTTTTGAGGAACCACAAAGCCCAGCCTTTTCATTTGCATCATGTGGTTTTCAAACTTAAAGGCAAAGAAAAGTAGCCATAGTGCTCACTGCCATATACAACTTTTTATTAAAATGCTAAAAACACACTCGCATATAAAGAGAAGGTACAAACACTTCTCTTCAGCCAAAGCTACTGAGTCAAACAGTGCTGTACAGGAGGAGAAAAACAACAAATACTGCTATAGTAAACCGAGAGATCCCTTGTGGGAGTGTTTTCTGTTTGCTTCCCTTCCATCTTTGGACTGTATAGAAAATAAATGCATTTTGGGGACAGTACCCCACCCTTAAAATTTTGACCTACTAAGTTGTAAAAAATGCACAGAGGTAAACATGCACACTCTGTCTGCCATCCGCTAGAACTTAGGACTGGAAGATGACCAGGAATGTCACATATGCCTACATAGCATGAAGCACTTGGTTTTGAAAAAAATTTGCAGAATGTCAGCAGTTAACAGCCCACATTTAAAGTGAAAATATTTCTAAGCACTTAACTATTTGATTTACTGTTTAGGTGACTATCTCCTTTTCCTACTTTTTTATTTCTCATTGCTGTCCCTTGGCAGCCAAGCTTCTTTAATTCAATAAAACAAAGTTCTGTGCCTGGCACTACTACTTTACGTTGTTGGTTCCTTTGCACATTATGTAAGTCAACAAAACTTTAACCTCAAATGCTCTGCATTTTACTCTTTAATGTTAAAAATTTTGTAAAGTTAACAAAGTTAATGTTAAGTTAAGGTTTGGATATAATATTTACCTTTTTGATGCATCTGCCAAATTGGAATTCACCTATGTGATGTTTTGCTATGCTTTGTATTGTTCTGTTCTGACATTTTATAAAAAATACATTTGAAAAAAAAAAATATATATTTATAAGTACTGTACATTTCATACTATGTCTTTTTTTTTTTTTATAGGTTCTGGGAGGAAGAATTACAAAAAGCACAGAAGGAAGGCCGAGCTCCCCGTTTAACCAAAGCAATTATACGTTGCCACTGGAAATCCTACTCTGTCCTAGGATTTTTTACTTTAATTGAGGTATAGGTTGATCAGTGTCAAAGTGGCTTTTATTTTGTTGAGTGCTCATTCATGTTTTTTTACCTGGCCTGCAGAAAATTGATTTTCAGGTTATTTATTGTTACCGCAGACTTTAAAAAAAAAAACAAAACAATATTTTAACCCTTTTCCTGTCACCACTATAGCTGTTAAAGTGGGTCTGTCAGTTGCTGAAAGCAAGCTCAAGGCCATAAGAGCAGACAATACCTTGTTTTAAAATATGACAGTCAGCTTACTTGAAGTGTAAAGCCACCTAATATTTTCAGTATGCTGGCAAGCGGCAGTCTACCCTTCTAATCCCCCACCTGCGTTCTCCATAAGCCCTAATCCACTGGAGCAGGGCATAAGATGGAGAGCATCAGGAAATTGGTGAACCCCAGAAATGCTCATCTTATATAGCATTTCTTTGTATCCAGTATCAGTATTCTGTTGGCAGTGGGCAGCTGAAGCTGCAGCTCGAGATATCTGTGTCCTTAGTCTGCATGATCTGGAGGCTTTAATAAAAATCTAATGCAGGGGTCTTCAAACTTTAAACAAAGAGCCTTCAGACTTTAGGAGGGCCGGACTGTGGCCAGTGGGAGTACAAAAGGTCCCAATGTCAGTGGGAAAAAATAATGCCCTATAGTTTGGTGTCAGTCGGAGGAATTGTGCCCCATCATTGATGTCACTGGCCCCCATCATTGGTATCATAGAGAGGAATTGTGCCCCATCGCTGATGTCATTGGAAGGTGTTGTGCCCCATCATTGGTGTAAGTGGTGAGAATTATGCCTGATTGTTGGTATCAGTGGATTAAATAGTGCCCCAAGAATCAGATAAAAGCAAGCAAAGGACCGCATCTGCCCCCTGGACCGCAGTTTGAAGACACTGCTCTAATTAATCCATAAAAAGTACCTGTCACTGCCTCTTCAAAGACTGAAACATGGGGGGTTGTCCGCTTTTGTGTCATGGTAATAAAGTTAACTAAACCAAGACAAGTTATTAAAAAAAATAATAAAATATATAAAAAGAAGTTCATTGCTAAAGTAATGAGCTTTAAGGATTTTAATATTCTGCCTTTTTTCCAGTTTTGGGTGTCGTATCGTTTGTAATTTTGCAAGTTCATGCAATTTTAAAATTAGATTCACATTTAAAATTTACTAAATATGTTATTTATATTTAATGGAAAATGTACATATATTGTATTTTGTTTTCATTAAAAAGTATTTTTGCCTAAAATATAGATGTTCTAAACAGTTGCACAAATACTGTGTGACATTAAAAACATAAAAAACTGAGGCTACCATCTTTTCATTTTCTAGGCCCTGTGCTTTCAGAAAAAATATAGTTTTGTGGGTCTGTGTTGAAGTCAAGCATTTACAGTGAGCAACAGAAGTATTTGAACACCCTGCGATTTTGCAAGTTCTCCCACTTAGAAATCATGGAGGGGTCTGAAAATCACATTGTAGGTGCATTCCCACTCTGAGAGACAGAATTTAAAAAAAAATTCAGGAAATCACATTGTATGATTTTTAAAGAATTTTATTTGTCTTGCACTGCTGAACATAAGTATTTGAACACCTGAGAAACAGCAAGAATTCTGGCTCTCAAAGACCTGTTACTGTGCCTTTAAAAAGTCCACCTCTACTCCACTCATTAATCTAACTTAGTAGCACCTGTCTGAGCTCTTTAAAGACACCTGTCCACCCCACAGTCAGTCAGACGTCAACTACAACCATGGGCAAGACCAAAGAGCTGTCAAAAGACACCAGAGACAAAATTGTGGACCTCCACAAGGCTGGAAAGGGCTACGGGGCAATTGCCAAGCAGCTTGGTGAAAATTGATCAACTGTTGGAGCAATTGTTAGAAAATGGAAGAGGCTAAAGACGACTGTCAGTCTCCCTTGGACTGGGGCTCCATGCAAGATCTCACCTCGTGGGGTATCACTGATAAGAAAGGTGAGGAATCAGCCCAGAACTACAAGGGAGGAGCTGGTCAATGACATGAAGAGAACTGGGACCACAGTTTCAAAGGTCACTGTTGGTAGAACACTACGCCGTCATGGTTTCAAATCATGCATTGCACGGAAGATTCCCCTGCTCAAGTCATCACATGTCCAGGCCTGTCTGAAGTTTGCCAATGACCATCTGGATGATCCAGAGGAGGCATGGGAGAAAGTCATGTGTGGTCAGATGAGACCAAAGTAGAACTTTTTGGTCTAAACTTCACTCGTCGTGTTTGGAGGAAAAAGGATGAGTTGCATCCCAAGAACACCATCCCCACTGTGAAGCATGGGGGTGGTAACATCATACTTTGGGGGTGCTTTTCTGCAAAGGGGACAGGATGACTGCACTGTATTAAGGAGAGGATGAATGGGGCCATTTATTGTGAGATTTTGAGCAACAACCTCCTTCCCTCAGTCAGAGCATTGAAGATGGGCCGTGGCTGGGTCTTCCAACAGGACAACGACCCGAAGCACAGCCAGGATAACCAAGGAGTGGCTCCGTAAGAAGCATATCAAGGTTCTGGAGTGGCCTAGCCAGTTTCCAGACCTAAATCCAATAGAACATCTTTGGAGGGAGCTGAAACTCCGTGTTGCTCAGTGACAGCCCCGAAACCTGACAGATCTATAGGAGATCTGTGTGGAGGAGTGGGCCAAAATCCCTGTTGCAGTGCAAACCTGGTCAAGAACTACAGGAAACGTTTGACCTCTGTAATTGCAAACAAAGGCTTCTGTACCAAATATTAACACTGATTTTCTCAGGTGTTCAAATACTTATGTTCAGCAGTGCAAGACAAATAAATTCTTTAAAAATCATACAATGTGATTTTCTGAATCTGTTTTTAAATTCTGTCTCTCAGAGTGGGAATGCACCTACAATGTGAATTTCAGACCCCTCTATGATTTCTAAGTGGGAGAACTTGCTAAATCACAGGGTGTTCAAATACTTCTGTTCCTCACTGTATATAAAAAATAGGATAACTGGTCCAGCAGCAAAAGCCTTGATTACAGAAGCGAGGACAGGATCTAAGGACACGTTTTAAAGGGAACTTGTAAGCAAACAAATATGGAAAATGTCAATGCTGACATGTTTTTGAAGGTGTATGCTCTGGTGCTGTTATTCTTACCCTTCCCTCACTACATTATGAATCACTGAGCCAGTACCTACTGTATAAATATTGCAGGTCAGTGATATACCAGCAAGGATAATACACAGAGTACACCTTTTAAAACAAGCAATCAGTGGCAGCTCCCATGTTTCTTTTTTGACAGGTTCTTTTAATAGAGGAAAAGCTGTCAATGTTGTTTGGGAGTTTTCATTGTAACACAATAGCCTATTCAGCTTAGAAGCACATCCATAGAAGTGAAATAACAAACACACCATTTAAGGTGTGTTGTAATGATACTTCCAGAGTCTGTTTTTTTTGGTGTACCAGATTTACATTTTGAATGATTGTTGCAATAAAATGTGTTTCTGGGTATAGCCTATAATGATTTTGAGATAGATTTAGCAGGGGACTATAGGGCCTTTTTATAGAGCATGCAGTGCATCCTCAGTTTTATTGTAAGGCTGTCTTGTAAATAAGTTTTTCCCTTAGACTTTTAGAATGTTTATATAAATGTAGCTCTTCTGTAGACTCCTAGCTGAGAAAGTGGAATATTTAGAATGCCTGACCATACCTACCCCATTACTCACTAATGCTTTCCAAACCTTCCTGTTGGCGTTAGTTCAACTCAATGTAAAAAAACGTGCTCCAAGATGCATCCAATGTGCATATGCTACCTTTCTAGTACTTCCGTTTTGATTAGTTTAGAATGCCAGAAAGAATGTCACTGCAGAATTATGCTTTTGAAAATGCTAGTTGCCTGCCTTTTTTGTTGATCCAAAGACTTTTTGGAGATACCCACACAAGAATTTAGATTAGTAGTTCTGACTTGTCATTTGACTTCACTAGTTGCACTTTGTCCTGGTTCAGTGACTCAGAAAGTATTGAAGCCAGAGACAGACAGGCAACGAGCATTTTCTGAATGTGGTTGTGGATGGCAGCCACCATTTTTCTCTCAATACAAAGTTTCTATAAGTGTCCGGTTGTATGCTAAACATCTTATCTTTTACCCTAAATGATCAAAAGTTTGTGGATACCTGACCATCACACCTACAATATACGAGTTTGTTGCCATTCCAAAACCGTGAACATTGATACACAACTGAACAACAGTTTGGAGTTGTAACAGGTTCCACTGGAAAGCGTGTCTGTGGCAATTTGGCCCATTTAGTAAAAAGAGCATTTGTGAGGTCCAGTACAGATGTTGAACTAGAAGGTCTGGCATGCAATAGGAATTTGAGTATATCCCAAAGATTTTCAATAGGGTTGAAGTCAGGGCTCTGTGAAGGCAACTCAGGTTCTTCCACACCAAGCTCATCAAACCATATCATTTTGGACCTGACTTTTGGGCACAGTCACATCCTAAAACTGTCATTACAAGGTTGGAAGCACACAGTTGCTTAATATTTCTTTGTATACTGTAACATTAACAAGAACCTTCATTGGAAACACCTGCACTCAATAATTGCTGTAGGAGGGGGTGTCACATAATTTTTGCCTAGTAGTATGTGAGATTATCAGGTGTTCACAAACTTTTGATCATATAGTGTATTATGTTATTGCTGGTAGAGGAAACATTTTTCTGTCTATCTTCTTTGGCTCCTTGATTTTATTTGTAGAATTCTACATGGTAATTTTTTATATTTTTAATGTCAAAATGAAGACCAGGGTAAACATTTATAACAGATATAACTTCTGAACTTCCTTGCTTGTTATACACTGGTTACGCATTAGTTAACATAATCAGAAATGTATCACTTATTAGACTGTGTTATCCACTGTCTCATTTAATATCATATGCTTTGATAATGATTATTTTTTATTTTCTCAGTCAGTTTGAATAAACATTAAAATATCTGAGACAATATGTTTTTTTTCTTCAAGGAAAGTGTCAAAGTGATCCAGCCAATTTTCCTTGGAAATGTTGTGAGTTACTTTGAAATGGACAATCCCAGTGATGCCGCCCTGGCTAGTGCCTACATAAATGCCGCATTCTTGTCTGTCTGTACCTTGCTTTTGGCAGTCCTTCATCATATTTATTTCTATCATGTTCTCCGAGCTGGCATGAAACTCCGTGTTGCTATGTGTCATATGATCTATAAAAAGGTGAGGGTTTACTTCTGAGCCTGCAGTACCCTGCATTATGATATATTTTTTTAATATTATGTTATATTATAGGTCATGTTGTTATAACAAACTGTTATTACTTAATTCCGTGATTTTTTACTTTGTAATGGTCTGCAACGCCCTTTGCTGTCTATATGAATCTATTACTTATTCCCTTCTGTCATTTTTATTCATATTGTTATTTAAATAACCACTCTAGTCAAAATAGAAATTACTCTTTTCAGTACGCACAAAATAGCTTTTTGTTTCCTCTGCAAAGAGCCCTGAGGTTTGTTAATGTCCTTGGTTAAGCTGTCTTAGCCTAAAGAATGTGGAACAATTTTTCTTTGCCTACAAGAATTGCACAAAGGGGCTGCAATCCCACCTCTATGGCCAGAGAACGGGGCTTACATACTGTTTGCTCTTAGAGTATACAAAGCCATTTTTTAAAACTTTCAATCAATTCTTATTGAAAAGAGAATTAAATGGATATCAATACTTGAACTTCCAATAATTCTGCAGAGCATATAGTGCTTGTAACAAATAGCCCACAACAGGCTTACAGTATCCAAAGTCCACATAATATACTCCATCTTACCAAAACAAGCTGCAGAGACTGTTTCCCTATACAAACAATGGGTGCCTATAAGACTAGAGGTACTAATCCGTGAGCCAACCACTACAAGTGCTGGCTGGAAACTGAACTTTTCTCAGCTCCAAACACTGAGGGGTAGAGCACAACATGTTGGGAGCATGGCCTGGCTGGAGCCAAGGTCGAGGCTGCCATGCACTTCTGCAAGGCTCTGTATAGGTCTGTGTACGACATATGGACACTTCCCCTGCTACACCAAGCCGCAGAGATTATCAGATCCCCTCAACATTCTATGACAGCAAGAGCCGTGTGTTATGGGGAAGTTCTCTCAGCACAATTAGCAATATCCATATAAACTATGGAGTCCAAAAAAAAGTGTTATGAGAAAGAAATGAGTAGAAATAGAAGAAGAAATGGTAAAAGGAAAAAAAAAGTGGATTAGAGCAGGAGGAGGAGCTCACCCCATTCCATGAGCAATAGATCCAAGAACCAATGAATCCAAGTGCATGAGTTGCACCCAAGTTTTCAAACTTCACTCAAAATGCTAACAATTCGTTCACGGGTCATAATGCTAGTAATTTTCCTCTTTGTGTGAGGGACACCAATGGTTGCTTCTATGCCCTAGCTAAGGTAATTTTAGTGCCAAGGAGGATGAGGCCACTGGGAATATTTAGTAGTCCTGTCGACAGGTTCATTTCAATAGGACAATTTGGGGTGATTTTTCTGATTCAAAGGGTTACAGGAAAGCTTGTTCCACAAAGATTCCAATTTTTTTAATCAGTACCGTATTTGCCGGCGTATAAGACGACTTTTTGACCCTTGAAAATCTTCTCAAAAGTCGGGGGTCGTTCTTATACGCCGGTACACATGTTAGGGCGGCATTAAGTACAGGGGTTTGCAGGGGCTGACGTCTCTTACCTGGATCCAGTTCCACGACGATCCGGTCCAGGAAGCACGGCGTCTCCTTCAGTTCGGCCACTGGATGTTCGTGCGGCTGCGCGGCTCCGCCTCCTCACCGGTGATTGGCCGCCAAAACTGTAGCTCAGGAAAGGCACACAGGCGGCCAATCACCGGCGAGGGGGCGGAGCCGAGCGGCCCCGCGAAAATTGAGTGCCAAGGTAAGTGCTCTGTGTAGAGGTGCTGCTGCAACCACATATGCTGGCTGCAGCAGCACCGTACTAGAACAGGGTCAGCAAGTGTCAGTGGGAGGAATAGTGCCCCATCATTGGTGTCACTGATACCAATGATGGGGCACTATTCCTCCCATTGATACCAACGATGGGGCACTATTCCTCCCACTGACACCAACGATGGGGCACTATTCCTCCCCCCCACTGACACCAACGATGGGGCACTATTCCCCCCCCACTGACACCAACGATGAGGCACTATTCCTCCCCCCACTGACACCAATGATGGGGCACTATTCCACCCCTCACTGACACCAATGATGGGACACCATTCCTCCCACTGACACCAATGATGGGGCACTATTCCTGCCACTGATACCAATGATGGGGCACCTATTCCCCCCACTGATACCAATGATGGGGCACTATTCCTCCCACTGATGCCAATGATGGGGCACCATTCCTGCCACTGATACCAATGATGGGGCACCTATTCCCCCCACTGATACCAATGATGGGGCACTATTCCTCCCATGATACCAATGATGGGGCACTATTCCTCCCACTGACATCAATGATGGGGCACTATTCCTCCCACTGGTGTGCATTGGAAGAGGGGTAGTCTTATACGGCGAGTATAGCCCAAACACTACATTTTAGCAGGAAATAGTAGGGGGGTCGTCTTATACGCCCAGTCGTCTTTATACGCCGGCAAATACGGTATTTATGGAATGTAGAAGGATTTTTTTGCTATCTATGCCCCTACTTGGGAGATTTCTCCCCTCTATTTGTCCTGGTAACCATTGTCTCTGATACAGAAAGTGATGGACAATCCAAAATTCTTGAGTTGTCACAGGAACAGGAAGTAAGGGAATTCATCCAGTAGGGAAATATGTTCTGGTGACAACTGTCTAAAAGGGAATATCCCATTGCTTTCATATTTCAATTATATCAGCAATAGAAAGTAAAAAATAAATCTCCTAGACTGGATTGAAATACTTCTTTAATTCTTCCCTATTCTATAAAAAAATTGAAAATAATAATTTGGCCTTACAAATAAATATTTGGTTTAGCTGGGAGGTTTGAGTATTGGGGGCCCCCCCTTTTAGGTAGCAGGCTGCCTATTCCCAGTTAATGGGGCTCCAAAGAGTTTTGTTTATCAACAGGAGGGAATGTCAGCCACACTAGGCCATAAAAAAATATATATATATACTGTATATATATGTGTATGTGTGTGTGTGTGTGTGTGTATGTGTGTGTATATATGTATATATATATATATATATATATATATATATATATATATATATATATATTATTGATTTAAAAATAATATCAATATAAGCAATAATATAAAAATATAGTATATAAAATATGTATACTATATTTATTATAGTACGTTGTAGTTGCTACATTTTGTCCTTCTGAACAACATCTTCAGAAAGAGAAAGGGATCCATTAAGTGTGTTTACTTCCTAGCATATATTGAATGTCATTAACTACCAGTAACTCCCATCGTCACTTTCTACAAGTTCATAATCTATACTTAGACTAGAAAATGTGTGCCCATTATAAATCTATAAATGGAAAACTGATTGACAGTTCTACAATCTGCCCTTGGCCCTATGCTGATACTACACTAGCAGTGATACCAATGCAGAAGGTCAAATACACTATATGACTATATGATCAAAAGTTTGTGGACACTTGATAATACTGGAATTTATGCCATTTTTGCTACACGGTGCTGCACTAGTTTAACTGACAATTGCGCAGTCATGTAATGCTGTACATAAATGAAATTTATGTCATTTGTTTCCCCACAAATAGAGCTTTTTTTGGTGGTATTTAATCACCTCTGGGTTTTTTATTTGTTGTGCTATAAACAAAATAAACCCACAATTTTGAAAAAAAAAACAATATTTTCTCATTACTGTTATAAAAAATATCCAGTAAACTCAAATTTTGTCACAAATTTAGGTTACGTCCTTGATAGAAAAAAAAAATCATAGTAAGTGTATATTAATTGGTTTGTCTGAAAGTTATAGTGTCTACAAACTATGATATGGATATTGGAATTTACATAGCTTTTACAGTTTTTACTTTCTGACTGCCTATCACATTTCTTGAGGGGCTAAAATGCCAGGGCAGTACAAACACCCCCAAATGACCCTTTTTCGGAAAGTAGACATCTTAAGCCAGTGGTGGCGAACCTATGGCACTCGTGTTCCATTGGGCACACAGAGCCCTCTCTGTCGACACGCGAGCCAAGTCGCCTCAGCAGCTGAGCATTGGATAGCAGCACACTTAGTGTCTGGGTCCTGTCCATGGCAGAAGTTCTGTAAGATCTGCCATTTCTGCCAGTACCCTGCATGGCTGCAGAAGCACACATCAGCCTCAGTTTGGTGCCAGACGGCCTTTATAAGGAGGCTGATCACTTCCTCAAGTTGCTGGATGATCTCTAGCTCCCCGTGCCTTGTTCCTGTTTCCTGTGTTATGGTGACCTGTGATTTCCTGATACCGACTTGGCTTGCTCTTGGACCTGTCTACTTCGCTTAACCCCTGATCTGACCTTGGCTTGGCTTACGGATACTCTCTCTCTCGCTCCTCTGTGTATGACCTCGGCTATCCCATCTGACTAAGTCTGCTCTAATTCCCACCTGGTACCTGACCTTGGCTTGAACCGGCTATCCAGTAAATTTCTAAATCCCGGAAGGGCTTGCATACCTCGCACATGCGCCACCTGTCTGCAGACCTATCTCTGTACATCAGCTGTGCTTCTGGGTGGACCACCAACCAGCACTCCTACAGGCAACCTGTGTCACTTTGGGCCTGACTCCCGCTGTCCCACTCAGGGGAGTCTGGAACTTATCCGCAAGGGAAGCCCTCTCTCCATTGGCCTCCATCACCAGGTACGTGATAGTATCATCCAGCCAGTATGTCCGAGGCCGAGAGAGGCGCTTCCGCACTAGAAACCCTGTGCCAACAAATGACGGCACTTACTCAAGCAGTGAAAGATCTACAGCAAGGATACTTCCAGTTGGAAGGGCGTCTGCACTCCCTCTCTACTTCTGCGGACCAGGATCCTTCCACCAGTTCTAACCCAGTAGCCGCACCTGCCAGTCTGTCTCCTGCCATCACTACTGCTGTGGTGTTACCACATCGACGTAAGTTCAGAGCTTTCAAAAATGCCTGTGAACTGTATTTTGCTCTACAACCTAGAACCTTTTTTGGTTCTAGGTTGGGTTCATCATCATCTCCCTCTTGTCTGAAGAACC